GAAATATTAGAAATCGCCAAAAAGTTTCTCTTTACTGATTAGAAAATATTATGGCCTATCTCTAAGTATAGAGGTAATATTCATTTATATTATAGATTTATTTCTTATGATTGATTCCGTCAATTGGTCACAAAGTACAGGATGTTCGTTTTATACATATATACAGAAAACTAACACCCTGTATTTTGTGACCGGAACGAATTGCTCGTTTAAACATATTAGATTATACATAGACATAGGGTTTTTATTTACCATATACAGGGTTATCCAAATTAAGTGTCCACCATTAGTAACTTTGTTATTAGTGAAAATACAAAGTTGTTTGAATTAGCAAACTAGTAGCATTTTTAACGCTGGTAAAAATGAGAAATAAAAAAAAACAATTGAGAGTCGTTATTTTGATTTTTTTCAGTAAAATAACATTTTTTTAAATGGAAACCCCTGTATATTATATTTTTTTCTGTTAAAGCATCAAATTTTAAACAAAAAAGCTTACAATAACTTTTCTCCTAGGTTACAAATTGTTGAAGTTATGGCCTCCAATCTGAAACAATTAAATTGTATCGACAAACTTTATTTTCAACATCAACTTATAATCTTACAAAATACAATAACAATTTTTTTTAAGAAGATGCTCGAAAACACCACCTTGTTCTTCAATACATTTTTGGGCACGTTTTTCAACTGCTCGAACTGTCTTAAGTATGGTCCTACCATCTATCTGGGTTATCTTTTCCCTAACTGCAGTCTTTAACGCGTCAAGGTTATCGTACCTTCGCTTGTAAATTTGGTTCTTTAAGTAACCCCACAAGAAGTAATCAAGTGGGTTTAGATCTGGTGATCTGGGAGGCCACTGTATTGGGCCATTTGTTCCTATCCACTGATCATTAAAAGTAGTACTTAGAAAATGATAAGTACCTCTGGAGTTGTGGGCAGGTGCGCCATCTTGCTGAAAATGCAGATGATGTCTACTTATAAGATCCAATTCGTCTAAGAAATTAGTCAGAATTTCTGACATAAATTCCACTTATCTTTCACCAGTTAGGGTTCCCTCATAAAAGAACGGGCCAACAATTTTTGAACCAATTATACCGCACCAAACGTTGAAATTGAAACGGACTTGTGGGCCTCTTGGATGTACTAACAAAAGATTTTCTCTTGACCAATAATGGTGGTTTTTTCTATTAAACATTCCAGAATTTGAAAAATTTGATTCATCTGTCCATAAAAGGTAACGAAAGTTATTTACATTTTGGCGACAGAAGCTAAGATACCAGTGGCAAAAAACAAGTCTTCTCTCTGGATCCCCTGCCAAAAGCGTTTGAACTGGTCGGTACTTATACGGAATAAATTTGTATTTTTTTAAAATCCTTTGAACAGTACCATAACTGAAATTAGAGTCCTTGAGAATGTCTGCTATTGAATTCTCACGATAAGCTTCAAAATATCCAATAACTGCAATTTCCGTGGCCTCGCTTATTATGAATTCTTTTTTTGCCCTTGTTTTAGCAAAAACATTTTCGTTGCCCCTAAATTTTCGATAAAGTCTCAGAAAATATCGTTCATACGGTTGAATGCGAGCGGGATATAATTCACTGTAGTATTCTCTTGCTCTCAAGGAGGATTTTCTGCACACTAAATAGCATTCTAACATATCACACTTTTCTTCATGGGAGAACATTTTTCTTTAAATTAATGACACAATAAAGCTTATAAACAAGTATTTACACTAATGTTTGACATTATTTGATTTTATCATTGTTTTCCAAAGCCTTCTAGTTGCGAGTATGTCCAGTTTAACAATTTGTCGCTTATCTTAATGCTGTCAAATCGCGAACGCCATGTTGTTTTCATAGCCGTCTTAATATTATAATACTGCAAATAATTAAAAATATTTATCGTTATTTTGACTTTATTTTTGACTTTAGCGGAAAAGTCATTATGAACTTTTTTGTTTAAAATTTGATGCTTTAACAGAAAAAATATAATATACAGGGGTTTCCGTTTAAAAAAATGTTATTTTACTGAAAAAAATCAAAATAACGACTCTCAATTGTTTTTTTTTATTTCTCATTTTTACCAGCGTTAAAAATGCTACTAGTTTGCTAATTTAAACAACTTTGTATTTTTACTAATAACAAAGTTACCAATGGTGGACACTTAATTTGGATAACCCTGTATATTGCCATACTTTGTATTTATGTAGCTTAATAAGAGAATCTTTACCAGAAGCCATAGAAAGTTTTTATTTTTAGGCAACCTGTAAACCTGCAGAAAAAACAAATTATACAGTCAGCTTCACATATTAAAAAAAAGGAAGAAGATAAAACCCGGTAATGAATCACAACAGCAATGCGAAATTAATGAAAATACAGATAAACAGAGAGCAAAACCTTCTCAGGAAGGTATGAAAAATAATATTGCCCTACTTGAAAAAAATCTGAATGCTTGGTATTCCGCCAGAGATACTATGCCAAGCCGTGCCGAAGTTGATAAACAGATCATTAAGTTGCGCGAGGAAATAAAAACAGCAAAACAGTCTTTAAACAGGAAGGTTCAAAACGCAGTTGCCCAGAATAAACACAGGGATGGTATAAAAAGGAAGTTAGAAGATATTTGTCATGAAAATCCAGAAATAAAAAAAGACAATCTCTGAGGGATTCAGTGGGACATCCTAATTTTGAAAGCAATCAACATTGCAGCAGATGATAGAAGACGAACGGAATCAATTCGCAGCGTAAAAACTCTTGATGAACTCACACAAGAATTACGTAAAATAGGATTTGACAATAGTCGCAGTGGGACATATCTTCGTTTGATTCCCAGAAAATCTAATTCTGCAGAGGGACGAAGACATGTATCGACAGTCCCTGTTAAGCTCATTCGGGCTCAAACTGATCACCACAAGAGCCACTGAAACATCAATCCATTATTTAGAGAACATCCATACTTGGACCAGATCAAGTATTTTTCATATCTCAAGATGATAAAGCTCGAGTCCTTATTGGCGTAACTGCGGCAAATAAGCAAGCACCTCTTCTAATGCACATGGAATATAGAATCAAATTGTCTGATCACGATTGGGTAATCGCTGAGCGTCATAAATTAATACCATCTGTTTATGCTGGTATCAAAATCACTTCCAATATACTAGGACATCCGCAAGCCGTTGGTTATTCTGGACCAGCATACATCGCTATTCGAAGTGGAAAGCATAGTTCATCTACTGCTAATACTCATGCTCAGGATTTCGAGACGCTTCTCGAACTTGAAGAGTTTCGACCATTAGCTAAAACTGACCATGAACTAGTAAAACCAGTGGTAATCATGACGGTTGATGGAGAGCCAGATGAAAATCCACGTTATCAAAAAAGTCATAGGGTTTGCTATACAACACTTTAAGCGACATGATCTCGATGCATTGTTTTTAGCTACAAATGCTCGTGGAAGAAGTGCGTATAACAGAGTAGAGCGCAGAATGGCTCCTCTTAGTCGGAAAATGGCTGGTTTAATATTGCCTCATGACCATTTTGGGTCTCATTTAGATGAACGTGGCGTTACAATAGATGAACATTTAGAAAGATCTAATTTCGAATTTGCAGGAAATGTATTAGCTGAAGTATGGAGTTCAATGGAAATTGATGGCTATAATGTTAACGCAAAATATGTTGGGGCATGTGAACAAGATCTGCCTGATTTTCCAGACATTAAATGGTATTCAGAACATGTGCGTGAGAGCCAATACTTGCTTCAAATTGTAAAATGTAGAAATACAGAATGCTGTCGTCCAAGAAGTGGCCTATTTAGATTACTAGACAATAGTTCCTTCCACCACCTGTAAAAGTGAAACAAACAGTTGATGACTTGGTTTTGGATGAAGGAGGCCAATTTCATAATCTTCCAGTCAATTTAGCTCTACGCTTAAGTGCTTCACTCAAAGATTTTCTGCAAATGCCCTACGATTATTTTTGTCCGACGGTAAACTTGAGGCTATCAAGTCGAACATGTAAAACGTGTGGTCTTTATCATGCTTCCGTCAAGTCACTAAATCGTCACATCGAAAATATCCATAAAATAGTAAACACGCACACTGATAGGAAAGTTAGACCTGTAAGGTCGCTGTTCGTCGTGCTAATGAACTGATGTGCATTATTAAAAATTTAGAGCACCATGATGTTGAGTGGCTCGATGAGAACGACGTAGACATTCCAAAATCCGATGAAAGCAAGCAAACTCACAACACTGAGCAGCAATCGAAGCAATCCAATGTCATCGAAAACTTAGAATCATGGATTCGGGTTTCATGGACTGAAGACTGTTGATTTGAATTTAATATATGTACCAAAAATTTAAAATAAGTTTGTTATGTTAGTAAGATTTTTATTTATTTTTGTCCTTTACTCTATGTTGAATACCGTATCAGTAAAATATAATCTCTATCCTAAATCTATTTTCTTATTTTTCAAATTATAATTATAACGTTATAATTATAATATTAAAAAAAACAATACATTATTTGATAAATGTTTACGTAAGCATGGGGGGAGGGCGTAAGAGCTTTACTTACTTTCGCTGGCCGGGGGATGGGGGTAAATAATTGTAATAAATCTGCTTACGTAATACTTGAACGGCCCCTTTGACTTCCTCGAATTGATCCTGATTTCGTTAAAACGGTTCAATCGGTTTGAGCATCAGGAATTACATACAGTGTTTCAGGGATAATTATTAGTATCCTTCACCATTGAAATACCTCATCAGTTACGACTATTTGCAATTATTTCTGTTTACGAAGTACACTTTTCAGTTGTCACCAAAAACAAAAAACTAACAAAAGACAATCGGGTATTCATCTTGCATCATGATGGAACTTTTTCGTGCGACACTCGTATGTAAATATTTCCACGCAGATGGCGCTATCTTTGCGTCATCTACTGATACCAAGCCGATACTTTAGCCTTGCGCTTTAGTCTCTAGTAGAAAACTAATCGACTTTTTGTTAGGTTTTATAATCGTCCGCTAGATGTCCGACAGAAAATGACAGCTGACCAGGTGGCAACTGACAAGCAAAATTGTAAAGTGAGGTGACTTGGTGCCCGTAAGCCGTTGTGCAATTTATTTACATTTGATCATTTTAAGAAAGAGATCCAAAAAGGGATAGCAGTATGTCTGACTGGGATACCGTAACTGTATTGAAGAAGAGGGCCCCAAAGGCTTCAGCAATGAAGAGCGAACAAGCCGTCAATGCTGCACGGAGACAAGGCCTTGCCGTGGAGACCCAAGCGAAGTGTAAGGTTGCTCATTTCCAGAATATTCATAATATACATACATACATCTAAATTCTTATATATGAGCCTTTTTTTATTCCTTTTGCAATTAGAAGAGTTTTACGCTCAATTCCATGATCAAATACACACCATTAGTCTGACATGTGAACATGTTTATAGTATATTTCACGCATTTAACCATAGATATACCATACTGCTATTGTGTTTAATAGTTCACAACAGAAAGCATACTATAAAGCAAAATATGTATGAAAGGTCATAGGAAGGCTTCATGTTTAGTATGTAGAGCTGCAACTGCCTTCCTCATCACATGTGAACAGCATGAAAATATTTACTTTTTATGAGTATGTATCTTTGAAAATGCACTTGGAACTGTGGAATGGTTGTAGCCCATATGTGAATGTTATTACCTGGAATTGACCCATGCGAATGTTTCCTGTTACAAGAGTAAATGGAAAAAAGTAATATAATGCTTTCCTCTAAAACTTTGTATTTGAAGGACAGCTGCTTATTCTACTGAAATACTTATTTAATAATAAAAGTAATGCCACAAACATGCTAATAGAGTCATCTTAAGGCAATGCAAGCCCCTAAAGTATGAAATTGAGAATTATTTCTGGGAATAGTCCTTGTAAAAACCTAAATGAAGCTTAATTCTTTTAATTACCAGCGAGGTACTAGCCCTAATACAGTCTAAGAGGAGAACGTTAAGAGCCTTACATTTCATCTGAAGCAGTCATTTTTCTCAACTCTTACAAAAAGAGTTTCTTTACATGTGTATAATGTAGAAGTTTCTCAAAACTACCATCTGGCCCCATAATTGGAAACACCTTGTGTAGCTACATTTCTAGTTATACAATGTGAGCTGGCAGAAGTGATATATCAAACTCTACACTATACATATAAGTTTTTCAAAAGTGTTATGCTGCCTCCGATTTTCTTAACATTTACTTTAAGCTCGCTTCAAGTTGCCCTTGATGTAAATATGTATATTGTACTGAAATGAAAAAAATTTATGGCTTAAAATCAACATTTCACGCATTTTTTTAACACAAGATAAATTGACGAACAGATTTTTGAGTTCACCTTTCTCTCCATAATGGATAAAAGCATCTAAAGAATATGATAGATTGGCATCATGCAAGTATATAAATGTATATTTTTTGCTTGCATAAAAGAATAAAGACAAATAGGTGTTAAATATTGAGCCCCAAATCTGATTACATAATCATAAAAGGTACATGTGCATGAAATGAAAATACAACATAGCATGGGATGCAGGTTCCAACAATGAATACAATGGGATGGTTCTAGTCATGCTAAGTTATAATCACAGAATCGCTCACCCAATATTACAAAGTCGTATGTGACAAAATTGAAAATAATCTGATTTCACTATTACCAAGTCGTATGTTGTCTGAAGAAACATACGACAAATTATTGTGAATGTAACCCTGCTGGTTCTGCTTAAAAACATAATATTTCATTGGTGTATGTTTTCAAACAGACAGAATGGTACAACAAAGTCGTATGTATCACATACGACTTTGGTGCAGTATTTCCAACTAAACGTCACGGGTGGTCACGGTTCAACAATGTCGTATGTGTTACATACGACCTTGGTAGTCTGAAATTGTTCTGGTCATCAAATCATAAGGTAGTATGTCATAACTTACGGCAAGGTGCACTCGTGTGTTTAATATTTTGAGGTTATGTTTTTAATCGGGAATAGTTATTAACCTGAGGATTGACACCGCATTTTCGCTAGTAGTTCGTGAATAATGGAACAAATAGGTGATAATGAAGCGTACTGGAGTGGATACGATTCAGATATCGATAAAGAATATATTCCTCCTAAAAAAACAAGGTATGTAGACATTTCGATTCCTTTTTATATTGCTCTTTGTAAATAAGATAAGACAGAAATATACGTACTCCTATTTTGCAGTGGTACCAGATACATACAAAAGCTTACTTAATTTCGGATTTTTAGAAAGTAAATAAAACTAGAATGTTTTTTAGAATCAAGATTCGTGGAAAATTATATGAGGTAGAAGCCGACAAGACTCTGGATACAAAGACTGACGAGTGTAGTCGCAAACTCGACTGCCATAAATTTGCAAAGCCAAAAGAAAATTTGAATAACTACGCAAGGTATGCTAATTTTGATATTGTTTCTGAATAATAATAATCATAACATTAATAACTTTTTCAGGGTTGTACCTATGAAAGGTTTTAATAAAGTTAGCCAGTATGGCGAGTCTAGCAAATCAGGGCAGAATGAAAACACCGTAACAAAACAAAATCCTAATCAAACAGATAAAGAAAATCTGCAACCATTCAATGAACAACAGCAAACTGAAGAAAATAATGAAGATGAGCGAAACAATGCTCACAAATCTGAAAATGTTACTAAGATGTCAAGAATAAGACAAAGAAATATTAAAAGTTGGGCGAGCCATATTAGAAAAGAAAGATTTGATAGAGGTCAGGAATATATTTCTGTCAGAAAAAAAATCGTACCGGCTAGAAAAATCAAAACAATAAAAGATTGCATAGAGAAATGTAAATTCAAATGTGGGAGACTAATCAGCACAGAGCAGAGAGAAGAGATATTTTCAAACTACTATAGGCTGAGTGCTTCAGAGAAAAAAATGTTTATACTATAGTAAGTACTACTGACATGGGTGACCCTGAAAGAAGAAGGAAGGGAAAAGATAATACTAATTCAAGGAAAAAATGTACTCTAAGATATTCATTTATCATTAACAACAATAAAATACGTGTCTGTAAACTCTTCTATTGTGGCACTCTGGGTATAAGTGAAAAACCAATTTACACAGCCCACAAAAACAAAACAACGAACAATACTAGTTTACCGAGTACTCAAGGGAAACATCAGAAAAAAGTTACTGCTGCAGTGGATGCAGATCTTGTGCGAACCCATATAAACATGTTTCCTCGCGTGGAGTCGCATTACTGTCGAGGAAATTCTAAAAAGGAATATTTAGACGGCAATTTAACAATTCACAAAATGTACGAGCTTTACAAGGAATTTTTGAAAGAGAAAGAAAAAGAAAGGAATCCAGTGACTTTTTGTATTTTTAGAAAAATTTTTTGTACTGAATACAACTTATCTTTTTATAAACCGCGAAAAGATAGATGCGACGTATGCGAGGAAGTAGGATTAAAGAGAAAGGAAAACAACCTCACTGTACAACTGGAAAGTGAATTTGAAAAACACATAAATGAAAAGAACAGCATGAGGAAAGAGAAAGATAAGGACAAACAAGGTTCAGTTCCGATTTTATGTTTTGATCTAGAGAATGTTTTGAGTTGTCCCAAAGCTGAAGTAAAAAATTTTTTCTACAAGAGCAAACTGAATGTATACAATATGACTGCCCATTTATCTGTTAACAAACAAGTTTACTGTGCTGTTTGGTCAGAATCTTTACATGGACGCTCAGGAAATGACATTGCTAGTGCTGTTTATAAGATACTAAACCAGGTACTCTTCGACCACCCAGAGTTTGAATAATTGATACTGTGGAGCGACAGCTGCGTTCCACAGAATAGAAACAGTTTCATGAGTTTTGCGGTTGCTCACTGTATTCAGCGCCATCCTAATTTGAAAAAACTTACCATGAAGTTTTCTGTGCCGGGTCATTCAGCAATACAAGAAGTAGACGCCATCCACAGTTCCATTGAAAGGACCCTTGCCAGGTTATAAGAAATAAAGCTTTAAAAATGTTGGGCTTCATAAAAAGAAATACATCTGAATTTACTAACATTGGAGCTATAGTAACTCTCTATACTTCACTGGTGCGATCTCATCTAGAAAATTGCAGCAGCGTGTGGTCTCCATATTATGTAACTTATCAGGACATGCTTGACGGGGTTCAGAGAAAATTTCTACGATATATAGCTTACAAAAAACACATTTCTATTGAGAATTTAGACTATAATGCTCTTGAAAAGGAGTTAAGGATTGGATCCCTAAGAGCCAGGAGAGATTCAGCAGATATTATTTTTGCTTATAAATTAATTCATGGTGTTTACCACTGCCCAGACCTGCTTCTAAAGCTAAATTTTTATGTTTCTCCTAGGCATTTAAGAGAACGCAGATCCTTTGAACCTTGTCGGCATAGAACTTTGTATGGCTCGAATAGTAGCATGGATAGGATAATGAGAAATTGTAATGACTGTGATATAGACCTTTTAATACTTCACTATGCTCTCTCAAAAAGTTCCTTAAAGATAGAAATCTTAGCTAAAGTTTTAAAATGTCTCAATTGCTGGTGATGTTTGCTGTGTTGTTTAGTTGTTCAGTTTTTTTAGTTTTTTTTTTTTTTTTTTTTTTTAGTATTTGTTTGTAACTATTTTTATGCACGTTTTAATATTTTAATATTTTAATTTAGTAAATAGTCAAACTTTATGTTCATATGTTAGATTCTTTATTTAAGATGTGTGTGAATTTTATTAGGTTAAGATTGTACTTTTACAACCTGTAACCGAATGGGTTTATCCCGTAAATTTGTAAATAAATAAATAAATAAATAAAGACTGAGTATCATTCACCAGTTTCCCTTTTAAGGATCTTACTTAAAGTAAATCAAAAAAAGACGTTTAAAATAATGCAAATGCAGAAAAAAGATTTCTTTGATTTCCAGTTTTATTCTTCCAAAATGACCTACAACAACCTTCCATTTTCGAAGGTATATTGTTTGCAATTTTCAAGAGCTTTTCATCAAATTAAATTCAAAACTACCTTTACAGAAGAATCAGATTATGTTCCTATAGATTTGAGACCAAGAAATTTGCGTAAACATGTTATTGTCACAGCGGATTTTATTGCAGACATCCCAATCGAATTAAAAAAGCACGACGTTAAAGCAAAATTGCCCCAAACCAAAGTAGATGCATTGTCTTCTATGTTTAAATGGATGCCAGCAGTGGATAGACTATTTTATGAAAATGTATTTCATAATATGTGAACCCATT